ATTTGAATTAATATCTACAGTTTGATACCAAACTTACTGACATAAATTCATGAAATAGTAGTTCAGTGACATTTTGAATGTGCGTCAACAAACTAGATGACATGGCCTTTCACCTGTGACCCATACAGAAAGGGTTAAACATTCGTTTTATTCCAGGAAATGTTTTGTGTTAAATTATTTTTTTTGAGAGCTATGGAATTGTTTCTATGGCAAGACATTAGGTAAGCCTACTTAAGTTCAGAGAGTACTGTACGCATCTGCAAAATATTCCAGTGACTGAAATCCTTATTTATTGAATGTTTTTATCATATTCAAACAATATAGTTAAGTAAGAGAACTTATTATTTATTAAATGTATATTGATCTTGACCAAGAATATGATTAAGAAAAGTATGTTAAGAAGTATGAACTGACACCATTGTGACAGGTCAGGTCATAGTTCACTAATAACTCTTATCAGTTTCTGGCATATTTTTTTACAATTTATAGCTGCAAGTGGTGACTACTACAATCAACAACATACTTATCAAGAGAAATATATTAACGAACATCAAATAAGTTGAAAATAATTGTTTATATAAAATGAACCTTTCTAACTATCAATAAAAAAATAATTAAAATTCTAAGATGAAAATTTTCTCAAGAAAATTTTACAATTTTAAAATATGATACGATTTTTTAAAAGCCAAAACTAGGGACTACTTAGTTTGGTAAGTATTTCCACAGTGAGGAGGAAAAAACCAAGGGATGTCAGTGACCTCACCCTCTTCCCAGGTACAGAAAGGGTTGATAAGTTATCCATTTGACAGTCATTACAGATTTATTCATCAGTTTTTTTTTCTCTCCAGTTGTGAGTTGCATGCTAAAATTATAACTACATTGTAATGACATACTATATCTCAAATGCCAGATTGTGTTTATGTTCTAAATGTTTACTTAAGTCTAATTCATATAGTCTACAAGCAATATACAGATTACTTATGACTTCCAAGGGAAAATATTTTTTACTTGCATAATGAAGGATTCTTAATGGTTGTAATTCCCTAATTTTAAGAGTTTGAAGCAAATTGTAAAGAAAGCTATAAGCTGTCTACTGTTTTTTTTCTTTGAGCATTATATATTATAAAAGTACATGTATCATTCTTAAAATAAGCATATTATGTTCATGCTATTTCATCATTTCTGTATACTGAAGAAAAATATGGGTGTATGGTGCATTTCTGCTTCTTAAGTTTTTACTACTGATTTTTGAAGAAAACTAAAGTTTCGATCTAATAGTGAGTTTACTAATATTTTTAAACTGTCCATTAATTTGAAAAAAAGTAGATTTTTACACCTATTTTAAACATATCAAATTTCAGGTATCAGTCATGACAGTTTTCTTGTTTTAGTTATTTTTAGTAATACCAACTTTATCTTCAGGCACAATCTTCAGCAAGCATATCTCCACAGACTACACAAGGAAGTGAAAGGATAGAAAATCAGACTCCTGCCCAACGACAGGCTGTGGCTAAGCTGGCTCTTCGTAAACAGTTAGAGAAAACACTGCTTCAGATTCCACCTCCCAAGCCTCCACCCCCTGAGATGCACTTCATACCTAATGCTAACAACCAGGAATTTGTATGTCTTTTAGGCTTGGAGAAGGTTGTGGATTTCATGATGCATGATAGCACTGCAACAAAATCACCTCCAGACCCATTCTTTTGTATTCAGTGTGGCACAGATTTTACTCCTGTCTGGAAGTGGCAAGATACACTCGCAGATTTTGGAAAGAAAAAAACATCTGTGATCTGTGAAACGTGTGTTACTACAAATATTAAAAAGGCTTTGAAGGCAGAGCATACTAATCGTTTGAAAACTGCTTTTGTCAAAGCTCTCCAACAAGAACAAGAAATAGAACAAAATATGTCTTTAGTTGTTCCAAGCCCTCCACCTTCTACCTCGCCTTTAACACAGCCTCTCAGCTCTATTCCGACAACAGTGTTTTCAAACAGTCATGGAACTCCTCCACCATCGTCTCATAGCCCCATTCCACGAATTGGCATTTCTAATCCTAGTGCTGCAGCAGCTGCAGTTGCTACAGCTGCTGCAAACTCAGCTGCACTTCTTCAGCAACTGCCCAAGTTAACTCCTGCACAGCAATCTATCCTGCAGGCCCAAGCACATCAACTACATCAGCTTGCTCAGGGGTTGCCTCACCAGCCACAGCCTGCTCATATGCTACCCTTTAGTCCATTACTACCCCAGGCTTACTCATATCAAATGCTAGGAAAACCTGCAGTTACCTCCACTGACTTACAGCGACAGTATTTGTTGGACATGATCCCTTCTCGCTCTCTTCCTCAAAATTCAATGAATTGGAAATCTTGATTAACTTAGATTTGTTTATTCATTTAAAAAAATCTCATTTTTGCATTCAATAATAATAATATATTTGTGGTTGTGACTAAAAAATATGTATAGTTTATGATTACATTTATTTAATGTTGTGAATACTTTTTATTTCAACATAACTGTAAAATTGTGCTTACTTTTGTTAAATCTACACTCTGTTTTATCTTGCAAAAAAAAATTAATGTTGTAGAAATAAAATCTACACTATGTTTTATCTTGCAAAAAAAAATGTTGTAGAAATAAAATCCCAATAATTAATTCTTTTCTTTAACTCCTTTATTGCAGAAGTAGTTTTTCTCTGTAACACTTTTTTTTTGTAATTTTGTTAAAATGTGGTTTTTGCTAAATAATTTCAAAGCCACTAAATCAGGCTGTTTATGATTTTGTGATAGAATCTTTAGTTTTGTGATACTTATTCATGTATTAGCAGTACTCAAAAGTAGGTTATGTACATTTTTAGGCCTACTGCTTTTAGTCACAAAATTTATTAATCTTAAATATATGCACATTTTACAGGTATCCAGTAGTTCAAGCTTATTTGGTATAAATCTTTAGGATTTTTTTAAACATTCATCTGTTTTAATTTTTCTGCAAGGATATAAAACTTGTTTTTCAAAATCGTAACTAAAGCAGTGAATGTCAAAAAAGTTTCAGGATTTATCTCAAAACATTTCTGAAAGCCTGTTATGTGCTGAAAATATTCAGTAATCACGTGAAGTTTGTCATATAATCTATCCACTAAAAAATTTTAATTTCTCTGGAGGTAGAGAGGTAAGAAGGATTATGTGTGTGTGTCTATAATATATAATATTGTAGATTCTACAGCACAATGCAGTGAAAGGGTTTAATAGTATGTAAAGCAATGTATGTTTTCATAATTCCCCACCTGACAAGTTATGTATGCTTTAGTTTCTTAAAACTACTTAATACATCAAAAGTATTTTGTGATATAATTAGGTTTTTAAACATAATTTAATATTTCATTTGTAAAATTATAAACATTGAGTTATGACTATTTTGTTAATTATTTAAGGTCTTGTGTATACACTTGTGTTGTACTTTAACCTATTATGATTATGAAAAATAAATACCAGTTTTCATTTTTGGCAAAATTCATTGAGTTTCAGTGATGAAGAAACTTTAGTTTAGTTTCTATTGCTATTAATTTATAAACAAGTATACATTTTGACAAAAGTTCTTTTTGAGTTCTGCCAATATGGTTCAGAGAGTGAAGTGATACAGAAAAACAAACAAACCAGAAACTTTAGAAAGTAGTATTATTGTTTTTCATCATACATATATGATTTGAGATAATATTCAGTACAGAAGAAATCTACATGACAAAACCTTCAAAAATTATGTTGAAGATAAATTTTATCATCAAAGTCATTAGTAATTAATCTGTTTCTACAGTTAATGCTCACAGGATGTAGAATTGCAGTTCCTGCATTTGTATAGGTTTTCACAATAAATATATACTGCCTAATATATTAAATTTGCAGCCTATATTGGTCACTGTTGTTAATACTTTGATATTTCACACAAACTGATGTGTGCCACCAAATTCTGATCTACAAATATTCAAACAAAATACAAATAAATCACATTAGCACAGAACTTATAACAGGACCACTAATCATCAGGTAATATATACATAGACGAGTTAATCACATTAATTTCGTTATTTTGTAACTGTTCACTTACGCCAAGAGTTAACAAAACTAAGTTTCTACTGAAATCATTATCTTAATAAATATCTATCTGATTCTGGTACAATGTCCACTTCAATCCTAATGCTGCCACCAATTTTAATAATTTTGACAAGATGAAAAAATTTTTTGTTTAAAAGAGAAATCAGTTAGAGACCCAAAGAAAATGCATTGTTAAGTAGTCAGATATGCTAGTAGGTGAGAATAAGTAAACATTTGTTATGATGATGTACACATTTCACAGTTTAATGATCACAACAACTAAAAAAGTACAGATCCATTACCCTTAGAAGGTAGATATAAACAAAGAACATATTTTCTGGTGTAAAGTGAAGAATAAGTTATTAAGTGTCCAACCCTGGAAGAATTGTATACCTAACACATGTAACATTATCTTGAAGAACTTTACAACATAAGGAACACATACATTAAAATATGTCTACAAAATGATTGTAACATGCAAGACTTGATATGTAAAAATTCTACTTAAGAAGCCCAGTTATGACTGGTTACCAAAATTAAGAAAAATATTTAAGCAGAAATATTCACTTTTATATCTGTGAAGAGTACATATTTTTAAATGTTTTAAAAAGGACACTTACTAGCCTGAGGTATAACAAGTAAAAATATATTAATAATAGTTTCTTTTTTTTTTACTATAATAAGAACAATTGGTCACAATAGTTTTACAATGTTAAATTGCTGTCAAGATAAAATGCAACTTCAGTTTGACAAACATTAAACTCTGACAGCAATCAAACTTTTCGTTGTGGTTTAAGAATAATAAAATTGTTCTAACACTATTTAAAAAAAGAATCAGATATGCAAGTTAAAAACACCCAAGTTTTCTTCCTTGTAGTGTACAAAACACCTGATAATGATGCCATTATTTTTCTTTGTTGTGGTGTAAATAATCACATACATCAATTAATAATAATAATATAATATTTCTTAAAGTGTACAGAACATGAAGTAGACGTCAACAATATCACATTTTCTTAGTGGTGATATAAAGAATTATATACACCAGTTAATTTTCTCTATTCACACCCTAAAGAACAGTTACACTTGGTCAACAATATCAGGAATTTTCTGTATTGTATAATAAATAATTCCAATAACATAATACATTTTATTAAAATGTAAAGAAAAGTAACTTCTGGAGTAAACAAAATTGCCAAGTTTCGTTCTTGTAATGTGAAGAATCTTGTGTCATATAACAAAGCTTTCACTATCAAACTATATTAGCTATCATCAACCCAACTAAATCAATGACAAAAGATATCATTCAATGGAACTCTTGACAATTTTTACATATGCATCCACCATTACATTTATTAATTCTAAACTAATACAAGATTGTCCAGCAAACTCTAACACTTGTGTTAACTTTCATATTGCTTAGATGAAATACTGAGTAACTAATTGGTATTAGTTTATCAACCTATCTGGGACAAGTGAAACCTATTCAACCTTATTGTAAAATCAACAAAGAAGTTTAAATGACCATTTTGGGTTGTTTTACCAATAAATTACAACTATTTTATAATAGGAAGAAGAAAAACTCTGGCATATACTAAAACTTATGGCTTGCTTATTTTGGATAATATATTGAAAATATACTAGAGTTATAATCAAGAACAAAATTTTTAAATGCGATAAGCAAAGTTAAATGCACAAATATACAGTTGTACTTTACAAGTACAGCTTAAATATTCCATCATTGACACAAAACCATTCTTAGTTAATGGTTATTTTTTACAGTATTCAAACAGTTATGTTACAATTCTATCAGTAAAAACAATGTACATTGCTGAATAAATGGTAATTAATGATCTAAAATATACTGATGCATAAACTGAGTAACAGAAAAGTATTATCACACTAAGATGTTTCAAAATAATGTCAAGGGAATAGCATCAACTGTCTGATATCATTGTACCAGTATCAACAGCCCTGAATAAGCTAATGCCTTAACAGCCTGCAAGAAAAACTATATATATAAATATTGACCTTAATGTAGAATCAACATAATTTGTCACACTGATCAATAAGTAGTCTGAATATACAAGTGTGCCAACACTCATAAAGTCTGAACCCAGTAGTTTGTCAATTTACTCACAAACATAAGTATGTATGTGTATGTCAACCTGTTCAATAAGTAGTCTTAACACACCAGTGTGCCAACACTTGCAAAGTCTGCAGCACAGAAATTTGTAAATGTGGTCACTAATAATAAGTATGAATGTGTATGTCAACCCTGTCATTGAGTACTTTCTAAGTATACCAGATCAACAGCTATAAGAAATATAAACACACTAATTTATTGATGCACTCACAACTGTATGAATACTATTTGTTAACACTACAATTATATCAGTACCAGAGCAATTAGTAAAAGAACTACAAAGTTTTCAATTTGGTTTCCCAGACTGCACTATAACATGTCCATTAACCATATTATGAAACAAAAGTGTGAAATAAATTTTTTCCCTATACTGCAGTCCTAATAACTGGTTTGTTAAGAAGGTCACTTAAATTTTTTACTGTGAAATGTCAATGATGGAGTGGATTATGTAGCCTCGTACTGGCACTCTTAATTTTTAAGAGAACTATTTTTTGCTAACTCCTGAGTTTCATGTTCCTTTTGTTTTATGTAACACAATGAACACAGGTAGCAGGTTGCAGCTGTGCCATACATGGAACACCCAGGATTTACACAAAGAAATGATGAAAAATCAGTTTTAGGAATTTCTATGTTTGGTATGTCACCAATTTTTTCCTCTTTTTCCTGCAAAAACCTAGCCCTGGCAGAGTTTAAGTAATTACGAATCATCTCTTCCTGGTATTCATGTTGTTTGTCTGTGTGCATAATAGCACCAAGGACAAAGTTGCAACTGTTTGACATCTTGCTGTCCCAATCTTTGGTACCACCTAAACAGCTCTTTTCTGCTGAGACATCCACAATAGTTTTAGGTGTTTCCGTAATCCCCTTTAACTGTACACCCTTTCGAGATATACTACCAAAATTTTTCTTAAACTTTTTACTCATGCTTCTGCCAAGCTGTTTAGCAACAGTGTGAAACTGTGTGGCAGACTTATTCTTTGGATGTGATGAACTATTTCCTGAATCAGTTAATGTTTCATCAGATCCTGAACTATTGACAGGTGTCTTTTTTTCGTCTTCACATAATTCGTTTATTGGAGTAATTTCAGTTAACGATTTTTCATGTTGAGGTTGTTTCTGGACTGAAGAGACACAAATATTTATAATGTCCAGATACTCACTGAGTAAATCAACCTTGTCCTTGTCTGTTAGTGTTAATTTTGATATGACCCATGGATCATTCTCATCATGATTCCATTGAACATCTATTCCTGGATCCACAGCAAACTGGATAGGAAGAAGTTTGCACTGAGAATCAGTCAAAGGAATGGCTGCTGCAAAAATATGATCAATAAAGTACCTTGTTTAAAAGGTTTTAAAAAGTCACAATGAAAGTACACTTTTGCAAGAAAAAAATATAAAACATCTTTAGTCAAGTGAAATTTTGAAGAAAAAATGGCTTTTGATTGGTGAAGTTTGGTAAAGAATGTATCAACAAGCCTCTGAACTTACCTGGTGTACTTAGTAATTTATCAACATGATGTTCAGTTTTCATAGCAACCAATGCAGAGAAATGGGCAGCATCATATGTGAGACACAGTGGAGACTTGTGACAATCAGCTGGCAGTTGTTCTAATGGAAGATAAATCCCACCAAAAGAGATAGGGGCAAAAGGTTCTCCTGTTGCATCTTTTAGCAATGTGTCAGATATAACAATGACTACTCGTCGCAAGACGTGAGCTAAGGCAAAAATGTGTATCTCTTCCAAGCTTTCATACACATGAGACAAAACTTCATTCTCAGGCACACTGTCTAGGATGCTGAAAGAATATACACTAAAAATGATTAAACAGCAGCTACAACGAAAAATATGGTACATAAAAAACAGACTGGTGAATATGGCTTGTATTGAAAATTTATCTGCACTAAGAAAAACAGCTTAAGAAAAATAGAGACCAAGGTTTACAATAGTACTGGCAGTACCAGGTTGCTGATATCAGTACTAGAGCATCTCTAATCATGTGACTTGAGCTGTTAGTAATTCAACTATCCTTCCCAGTGTGTTCTAGTGGAAATTGTTTTTTAACATCAAACCAAATTGTCAATTATCTGTAAGCCCACATGGTATGATGACTGTGGCAATGAATCAGTTGAAATCTATACTTTCCATTGGTTATGAATTTAATGGAAGTTGGCCTCAGAAAAATCTATTAGCAAATTTTAAATTAGAGCATGTCAGAGGTAGGTGTGGAAAGTAGTTTCTGAATTTCCACTGATTGCTCTTTAGCCCCATAAGATTGAAGAATATAACAATATAGCTTCAGAATACTATTGATGAAATTATAGAGAATATTTTACATTACATTTCGTAGTTTTCTAGGAAGTAGGGAAATAAATTAGAAGAAGAGACGGCTAAAGAACAAATATCCAAATTTTCACACTAGGGGAATTTGAGGTTTTTTTAAAAATATTTCCTTATACAATTAAGAACTTAACTTATATAATATTAAAGTTTATTATGTATGGTTTAATGTTAAGTTTGTTCGTATACCATGATAATTAAGTAGCTTAATTAAGTTTTGAATGTAACTCACTAGAACATCATGACATGCACAGTTTGACAGCTAAAGAACAAATATCCAAATTTTCACACTAGGGGAATTTGAGGTTTTTTTAAAAATATTTCCTTATACAATTAAGAACTTAACTTATATAATATTAAAGTTTATTATGTATGGTTTAATGTCAAGTTTGTTCGTATACCATGATAATTAAGTAGCTTAATTAAGTTTTGAATGTAACTCACTAAAACATCATGACATGCACAGTTTGACCTGCCCACATGCTAAGGGTTAATCACACATGCACATTCAAGTTCTCTTCCAGAGCATGGGAGTCACCATTTTCCCATATTTCATGCTATTGCCAATTTTCATGGTGAAATTCACTTATTGACTGAAGTATGAACTCAGAACTACCACATCAAACGTTTATAATTCTGTGAAAAGCGAAGCTGAAATACCAGAGGAGGTGTTTGGTCAAAACTTCGAACATGAGACTTGTGATAAACCATAAAACAGTAATGGTATCGCTGGTACTGACAGTCTGATACCAGTACTGGATGCCGAGTACTGCCAGTACTGACTGCTAACCCTGATATAGACATCTGTAGTAACTCCTTTGTTGAAGAATTTCAAACAACATTAGGAGTATATTTGTAACTTATAGAGCTAAAATGATATATTGTAACACAGGATGTAAAAGCATTTGAGGAAAAACCTAGGTAGAAACATGGCTTAAATGAAACACTTTTTATATATTTGATTTTTCAATTTTGTTAGAACATCCATGTATACTGGCCAAACCAATAGGCTAATCACTTGTTAATTATACATGTCATAAGACATTATTGTTAAGCCTATTATATTTCTATACACTACATCCTATATCTCGGCTCTTAGAGATTTTAATGAATTAGAAGAGTGTATATTAATAGTATTCCAACCATACAATATTCGTCACATCTACTGCCAATGACACATTTCACTCAATCCAGGTTTGCTGGGATACAACAAACAAAAATAGTGGTTAGAACAATTTATATAAGCTACTTGTCACAACAACAATTGTTCACAACATAACAATTGTTGTTATTGTACTTGTATTGACTATGTAACCAAATGTGCATGACTTTATCATATTATAGTTAATCTCTGTTTAATTACATGTAATTACTTTCTGCTATAATGCCCTTCTCACTAGTTTTATATTTTTCAGTAGCTGACATTTACAATGCAGGTAAAACAATTCTGAAGAAGGCTGGTTTGTATAATATATTAGCATATTTTTTTATGTACATATGCATGCAGATTGTTTTATAAACAATTTTTTGGCAAGTTAAAGGTATTCTGTAAAATAAAAAGTAAAAACAAATCACAAAACAAGAAACTCTACAGTATGAGTACATTTGAAAGGTAGACTTTCATTCTTACATAGTGCTTTCTGAAAGTGTTCAGGCTTTTTTGTTTTTTTCTCTATAGAAGAGACCATAACTTCTCAGAATCTTGATAGAGATCTTTCTACTTGATTCTTTACAGTAAAGACAAATTCTGATAAATTTACCAATTAAAAATATAAAAAAGCTGAAATTAATAAATACAAGAATTAATAATTTTCTATAAGAATTAAAATTAACTCAATTGTATCATATGAGTATTTTTTAAATAAAACAAATGAATAAGTTGGATACAGAAATGTTTCTTACTTGAAAAGCTTTACTTTTGCAACCATTTGCCTCAAATTGGATTCACTCTAAATTTTAATATGCCAAGAAGAAAAAACATGTAGCTACAAATAACCCTGAGTTATAAAATCATATAATAATGGTTGCCTCATTGTTGATCAAAATTGATCTGTTGTTAAGAAGTGAAGTAAAATAGTTATTTTGTTACAATTTTAATCAAGGTGACACAAGCATCTGAACTTGAATCAGTCATATTAACTTATCAAGGTAATAAACAGTCAAAGATGTGTTATGTTAATAAATGGTCTTTAAACTTCTGTTATTAAGGATTTCGTACCAACTTGATTATTATTAAATCCTTGTGGAAAAACATGAAATATGAAGCATTAAGCTGCTTCAGGTTTAATAATTACAAATTTTGCTTTAGACTTTGTACAATTATTGGTTCAGTCATATATATAAAAAAATAGGATAATATGAACAAACCTAACACTGATCACTTTACAATTTCCCATCACGTGCTTCAGATATCCTTTATGTAACAATACATATTATTTGAAATCTAACCTTTTATTTTGCCAACTGATACTGCTGTCCATATCTCTGTTACGTGAACGAGGTTCTGATGATGCCATCTTTAGTAAATCCTGCCATTCTCTCTGCCACTCTTGCTCACAGTAGACGAGACCTGTCTAAGATAAGCAATGGGGGTAAGAAAAATATTATAACACAAACTTACAGATCAGACCCGACTTCTTGTGTAAATGAAACATTAAACATAGGTTTTTCTGGCTAGATGTGCTTTACTATTTAACTGAATGTGCAAAAGGTCAGTCCAATGGACCAAACACATGTTGAAAAAGGAATGTTGAGTATAAGTCTGAATTTACTGCATATCTCTACAGAAAATATGTCAAGCTCTTAGTAAAATATATACAAAGAACATTAAATCTGGGAGTGTACAAGAAACCAACACCTAGTGTTTGTGTGTTCCATAAAATAAGACATGCTCTATTATTTTTTAATGCTGTTTTCATTAATAGTATTTGTCAAAATCTTTTATATTTCCAATTTTATTATTATACTCTTTTTGTAGAGATTGTTTGCATTGTTAGCTTCACAGATGTATTTAGGACTGATCTAGATCTCCTAAGCTGGCCAAACTTTTTGAAATATAACTGATATTAATTTTATGACCAAAACTATCATTAACAGATGAAACTGTTCAAACAATGCATTGTAAACTTTATAAGTAAGAGTGTAAAAAATATTATATTTAATTAGCTATACTCATTACCATGTTGTCTTTTAGTTTTCTCTAAATAGTTACCCTGCTCTGATTGGAAGTTAATATTAATTACAAGAAAGTACTAGTATCTAAAAATATTTTCATCACAACTTATCTATTGGTTCAAAATTACCACTATTTCCAATATTAATAATCACTGTTAGTATTTTTATACTTCCATATACTGGCTTTTCTCCAGAATTAGTTTATGTACTGCAAACTTAACATACATAAATTTAATCACAACTATGTTAGAAATAAAAGTGATGGTAGAAAGGTTAAAGTTAATATTTCAATGCTGATGTTTTCAGTTTGCTAATGATTTACGAGCACGGAATAAAGTTGACAAACTTACTTCAGTTAAACTTTTGAAATAATAGACTGAACTTTTCAGGAGGTGAGAATAAACTGTGAGTATACACTTTAAGAAATATTTTTTCAAAAGGGATAGTTTTAACACAGTTACTGTTTCTTAGGTAAAAGTCTGAAGATTAGTAATATATTTTGGAATTATTAGATAATTGTAGAACAATAGTATTCTATGTGCCTAAACCTGTTCTCCAAGAAATCTGTAAGTTTAATGAGTAGGCAGTGAGAAAGCTATCTAATTTTTATTTTTCTAGTCAACTGACAGTTTTTTCAAGTTGATATTTAAACAAATACCACACAACATTGGTAAGCTCACAATTTTGCTTTGTTACAATTATCTGTATTTCTGTGAATCTTATAGAGAAATATTGAGATATATACCCTTCACTACATTTTAAACCTAAATTCAGGCCTAATTTTGTTCTGTTTCTATAGAAGTCAGAATCCTAACTAGGAATATTACAATATAAAGCAACTGAGTATACTATTTTCCATTTTATTAATCTGATTTACACGCTAGAGAAGTTCAGCACCGACTAAAACACAAGCTCTCCTCTCTCAAATTATCGAGTCTTATCAAAGCACATTTGTCAATGAGCAATCCAGGTAGTGTGGCAACATCCCTAATTGTGAACCACAGGCCACAGGTAGGCAACTGGCTAGCAGCAACCACTTTTAATTGTTAACTTTTATTATTATTATTGTCTATGTTTTTTTTATATATTCATTTAACACCAATTACTCAATGTAAATAAGATGATTTTTAATACTATTAATCTATTTCACTAACTAATTTTCTTTTTTTTTTGAAATTATTTTTAAGTTTGAGTAACATATCTATGGTGGCTATTGTGTCTGTTGAACAAAGAAAGATGTTTGTCCAAGTTCTCTTTAATACACTGTTTTGTAGAGCAACTTCTCTAGATGATCAATAAAAATTAACTGATATTTTTTGTTAATTTATGATATACAAACACATTTGAATAACTGAATCAAGTTTTGGTTATATTATTCTCTGGATTTCAAGAATACCACAATAACTTTTTTTTCTTTCAAGATCTGTTCATTTTGTCCACAAGTTTAATCACTGTTGCTTTAAATGGCCTTCAAAAGAAATCTTTGTGACCTGCCTTCATAAATAGAGCACAGCAGTTGGTGGAATTTGATAATATATTAATAATCTGGCTCATTAATTGATCACATTCAACTAATCTAATATTCTCACGAGACTTGAATAGCTGGAATAATCAGAAACACTCATTTTGATTACTTGATTATTTTCATGAGCCGTGATACTACTCAATTAAGCTGAACAACCTTTAATTAATTGAATATTATGAAATATCATAATAGCAATTTTTTTATTACTTGGATAGACGTAATATTCAAAAACATTAATAACTGAAAAATCTAATTTTGAGTAGTTGAGTACTTTTGTTACATTAATTGATTTAATTATAATTTTTATTAATAAATTATTTTACGTGACACTAAACAATGTAATAGGTAATCGACTTAATCTCCAAGCACTCTTTAATCATAAGTATTCCGTAATAACTGAGAATTCATCAAACAACACATCCTCAGAGTCAGTTACAGTTTCATTACATGCGACATTAAAAATGTATTGAAAAGAAAATTATAATCAAGCACCTAGAAACAAATGGTTACCATCATTTTATCTGAATATAAAACAAGAACAATAACGATGCTCTGATAAGCCAAATACTGATTACAATAAACTATATTTATTTTGATGTTTTAACATAGTGTAAAAGTCTTGTATTTCTTCTGAAAGATTTTATGGGACTTCTAAACCTGTTTGAAAACTATTTTGGCAAAGTTCTAGTGGAGATCTTCCTCACTGAAGATAATACCTTTACTATCAAACATAACTACAACTATTAATTTTCAATTAACTAGGTGTTTTTATATTTTATCATTCCATTTGGTGACTTTAAATTTAGTAATTTCTGGTGAAGTTACTTGATGTTTACTTATTTGTGTGAACAGTTTGAATATGAAATGTATCTTTTACTTATTTTAGGATGTACATAAAAGCAAGAAAATAAAAATAAAAGGTTGGCAGTGGGTGCTGCCACAGAGTTTGCCTTTCTTCTAGGTAGCAAGCAGTTCACAAAAAGTTGGTAGTGGATAGTTAAACATTAGTGACAGATAGCCTCAATAGTTTTGCCATAAAAAGAAAGGGTGTACAATATTTCAGTTACTTGGAGAGTTGGAATAATCAAGGACAGCAACTGGAAACACTAATTTTTGATTAGTCAATTTAATTTTAATTTTGATTAACTGATTAGTTTAAGTGCCATTAATCAATATAATTGCTGTTCATTGGTAATCGATTATACTGAATAATTGATTAAACTGCCCAGCTCAGTGAAACATCACCAAAGTAAAAAAATCTAACATATATCAGTTACACAAGGATGCTTTTATTCTTTAAGGATTTTTAACATAGCATAAAGATATCTCTGTATTCTAAATATCATGAAAAATAAAACTGAAAATATAATAAAAAATGAAGAGAGTACACAATATTAAACATTCATTAGCTACTCTACAATAAATTTCATACAAATGAACATGTTAACACTTTACTGACATCATTAATCCCCAACTTTATGTAGCAGAGTAGTTACCAGCTGAACTAAAAAATCATTTGATCATCTCCCTACACCTAGCTACAGAAAAGACACATTATTTCAGCATAATAAACTTCCATTTCTGAGATACTGTGTGTAATTGACTGTAATAAACTACTAATTAAGCATTACACATACTTCTTTGTTTAGAAGTGCTGTCTGCCAACGCCACCTTCGATAAAAAGCCTGGGTAAATCTGCTGTGAGTCAAAAGAGAATGCAAAGCTTTTCTTAAGGTCAGAAGACGATCATGAAATCCCCACATTCCTGGTATAAAGATAAGTCTTCATATAAATACAGTGGTTTCTAGATTAAGAAAGGCCTTTAGTTCATTTTATAAGCAAGGTTGTCAACATTCTCTCTCTCTCTCAAAGAAAAATAAATAAATAATAAAAAAATAATAATAATACAGCTTTTTTTACTGTAAACTAAATTTTGATACTGGTGGGGATACGGTGTTCAATTTTATAAATAACACTGTTCTAACTACTTTATGTCCTTCATGAGTATTCAGCAGTGTATTACTACACCAAGGCAGAGCTTCCTTCAGGCTTCAGAGCCCAAGAGTCCCCTTCTTTTAAAACTTTGTGGATCCAAAGGAAAAGTTGAGAGTCCCTACAATGAATGCAGTGAGATGCATGTATCAACATTTTATGTTGGGTGATGCTGATATCCATCACAAAGAAGTAAAATAATTTAATATCACAATGATATATTTAGACCCTAAATAACTTTCACTTTTTAATTATTGTGCATTAGATGTGGTGTAGCAAAGGTTAAATATTTATTGAATATTCTACCTACAGATTCATACATTATTCTAAATAATACTGCATATGCATTTGTACATCATAAAGAAAGATTATCAAGATCAGACAGTTGTTTTTTTGTTTGCAGTTAAGCACAAAGCTACACAAAGGGCCATCTGTGCTCTGCCCACCACGGGTATCAAAACCTGGTTTCTAGCATTGTAAGGTTGTATGTCCGCAGACATATTGTTGTGCCACTGGGGGGCAGATGAGATAGAACACCAACCCATGGATGAAACTGATTTTATTTCTACTATTAAAAAAAGTATAGGTTAATAAATAAATAAATTTAGTATAAATTAATAAAGAAATTTCTGTTGATACATCCCTCAAAACCAGTGGTCTTTAAAAATAGTTTGATCATAAACCATTAAGTATGGATTTATACCCTATAAAGAGACATAAGTCTGAAAAACAAAAGTGATTCTTTGCAGACAAGCAATAATGAAGCTAGTTTTGGTAGGAGATGAAATTTTAGATATATGTACTTTTAAAACCAGAAATGACACAGATACATGCATTTTAATAATCAGATCAATTTAGATTTAACAAGAATAAATAAATATCTCTTTATTCAGAATACTTTAAGAACAAAAAATCTGTGCATCTGAAGCATGCATGTGAGAATGCTTTTAAGCAACCTTTCAGTAAAGAGTATTTTAAGAGGTCATTAATGGAAGGTCTACAGGGATGTTTCTTGCTTCTGCTAAACAAAGCTAAAACTAGTTTCTGTTAAATAAGAAACACAACACTGAGTAATCACACCTGTTTGATTAGGTTTTATAGTAATTTCTTTGAGAAAAGTTGAGTCATTATCAATAACCAACACGCTGTTAGTTTAAAATTAGTTAATAAAAAGTTAAAGTCCACAAAACCAGACAAAATACTTCATCCAACAGTTGCAGTATTTTTTAAAAAATCAATACAAATAAAATTTTTTATAGAATACTAAAGAAATTAAAACTAATTTTTATCACTACAAACCCTACCTACTTACCAGTACTATAAAGGAAAACCAACAACTTTAAATCTTAAATATATTGCCCAGTTATATATCACAGCAATTTGTGATAATTGTTGTTTATGTTAAATCATTCTATTGCAACAGTAATACACTATAAATGAAAACTATAAATTAGAACAAACTGCTGAAGCTATAAAACTTTGACACCCCCCCACACACACAAAAGAAAGACTTTACCATATATTTCTGTGGTATATGCATTTCATTGTTATATTAAAAATGATTTTATTCATGGAACATTACATTCATTCTAAAACTAGAAGCTTTATACTATTTCCAACCAATATACATGTTCTTTAAGCAATTTTTGAGGCACAAAAAATTCCTAATCTCAAATGAATACCTCTATTCAGTGCTTTAAATAAGTTTTACCATAATTCACATTTACATAAAGTATAGCTTAACTATGAAATGTGCAAAATTCACAAGATTTTGAAGCAAGAAAAATAGTAAACTTTATCTCATACAGTATAATTTTTATGAAACAAACTTTTACCAAGAGAAGCAGCATGTAAGAGGCAGTTTCCATCACCAGTAGTTGCAAGAGGCCAGAGACGCTGACACGTTCCTTGGTCAGCCCACCAATTTAGCCTTCCTACAAAAGATATGATTGTATTATATCTTCAACTTCTGTGGAAATTGGGCTTGTACAAGTTTTACATCTGTTTAAGCCTATAACTCCTAAGCGAATAACTTCAAATAAAAGGAAAAGTTTTTCACATCATATTAACCCCATGTGTATGGAGTTATAGTCCACAGGACTGAGTCCGTATTGAAGAATTAATGTTTGCTATAACGGACTTTATTTAGTGTATCTTAATGAAAGTTTGTAAGATTTCTGTAAACATTACAGAAATCAGAACTTTCAATGAAGTATTTCTACAAAAGATTTGTCTCTGAATCAGACTCTGATTAGTTTGAGTGAAAGGTTTTTCATCTTAAGAATGAAAACACTTTTTTCATCTTACAGTTTTCAGATTTCATTTGCATAACCTCTAGAACTTCCTAAATGAATGTCAAAAGTTTTTATTCAGTAAAACTTTATAATTTATCTGTTATTTTCTCTACCATAACACTATATGAGCTTGGTCCATTTGACTTACTTTGAAGCTACCACATAACACAACACAAATCCAAAACTACCTTTTCTTCTTTCTAGAATGACTGCTGATTGTAACAGAAAGTTACACTTATTTATCCTAATCAGTCTCAGACATGTAACGTCTAACATCCATTTTCATTTAATTCTACTGTTGTATTGCACCTTGAACCATAAGTAACTACTAAACTTGCATAACAAAGTTATAAATCATCCGGTAAGCATGTAACTTAAGGTAAACAAAGTATTGAACTACGTAATGCACAAGGAGCTTGCATACAAACCTCACTCAGATATTTTTCCATTTGATTTTCTTTTTTTTTTTATCAGTTTTCATATCTACCATAATAAGTTTCTAGTTTAAATTTTAGATACTTTTATAACAATAAACAGAAAATAATAATAAAAAACAAGAAATTTAGTATTTATGTCTGGCTACTTTTTTTTTGCTCTCAGTATAGACAAAACTTAACCCTACTTTTTATAATGATGGTAAAAGTACATAAAATAATTTTTATTTATTTCAAATATGCAATTAAGAACACGAAAAAATGCAATGGCACAGAGTTATTATAATTTAATAGTTTTTTAAATTAAGATATAAGTGAATTAAGATAATTCCCTTACCTAGTTGAGGTGGCCTTCACTATAGCAACAATGAATCTGTAGGCTGATTAACTGAGAGTCTATCATGAGAAACAGCTAGCCTTATAAGTAAATTGAATTATTCTCTCTACATTGGTTTTAAATAATCAAATATCAGAGAGACTTATTCAAATGTTTTGAGAAAAAGATGTGATAGGAGGGTGTGGTTTGTGAATTTGACTTTATGGTTTATATTTCCACAAGACAAGAAGATTGGAGGTTATAAAATGAGATTATGTCTTACCAATATCTATACTATAAATGTGTAATTTATGTTAAACTTAGGACATCGTGTAGGGATAGTAAGAATATCTAAATTGGGCAACTTGGGATGAAGAAATGTCGTGTAATACAGTGAAGTGAAGGCGCCTTGGGGTGAACAAATGTTGGGTAATACAGAGAAGTGAAGGTTGAGAATTTATTTAAATATTTCCTTTTGAAATTAAGAAATCAAAATTTATGTAATATTAAGATTTGATATATTAACTATATTTTCATGTAAAGTTTATTGATACACATTGATAATAAAGTAGTTTAATTAAATTTTGAATGTAACTCTTTAAAAGGTTATGGCATATGCACTTTGACCCCCACCCATGCACATAGGATTAATAAATACATGTCTTTTTTTCTGTTAATATTTAATTTATATGAAAATGTTGAAATCATACAATATTAAGCCAAGAAGAATGTACTTTTAAGAAGGTTTTTAACTTTTTGATTCTAAAATTAGTAAACATTTAGAACAAATATTCCATTCATTAATAAAAACAAACTGAAAAAATAAAAAAAATCACAATAAGACACTAGATTAAACTGACATTACCAAGTAAAAATGCATCTAAAATTAATGCTTTTTATAAGATTAGTATGCTATTTATGTGCTACATAACTCCATTAAAGTTGTATATTTTATAGACAAAATATTCAATACCAGAACACAGTAGTTTTAATTTCAAAATAATGAAAAATTTAGTCAAATTTATATATTACAAATTAAATACTTCTTCTCTGTTAAGTACCAATAACTGGACTCAGTGTAATTTTTAAAAGTTTGTAATGACACCAAGTTGAAAATGTTACAGAACAACATTTCTTAAAAACTTGCTAAACTTACCACTCTGTTCTAAAGAGATTAATGTGGATGTTTCAATCAAATCTTTTTTAAGAAATTCTCGAAAGTTTTCTGGATGAATTGAAAGATCAGGCAGGGTAAATGTGCACACTGGCATTTCTAGTGATATCTGTGGAGAACTCTCCTTGTTATTAGTAGCTTTGAAATCCAGTGCAAACTCACTTCTTGCTCGAGACACAAGGTTAACATTATTAGTCGCTCTAGAGATCCCTCTGGTTAGTTTCTTGGCTGTAGAAAGCAAGTTATTATTATCACCTAATTACCTTGAATAATTAGCTCAAACACAGTTGCCAATGAAAGTTTCTAGTCTTCTCTTATATTTTTATCAAACTATTTTTTTGATTAAAAGACATATAACAATGTCTATCACAAAATACACCCCTTTAAACTGCATATACGCAAAACTTTAATATAATAAACAGCACTTTAATATCTGATTTTTAAGCCAAAATAGAAAAAGCACATTAAAATTTTGTATTCACAATCCAAAATAACAAACCTATCAAACAAACCTTTTTGTTTAAGAAACTGATTACAAAAAGAGAAAAATGTATCTCTTTGATTTTCTTAACTTTATATTTTTTAAAAGATCATAACTAAATGTGGTCAGAAAATACATAAGATCATTATAATATAAATCACAAATAAAAAGGTCTAAACAATATTCCAGTTGATTAACATTTATTAATAAATATACAGAGGTATCACACACTGTAATAATAATAAGGGAGAGTAACAATAAATAATCTTATCTTTTTTTTAAACAAGCTCCTTCCTCTGAGGTATAAAATAACTTCAGTATCCTCCCTACACTGTCTCTATTTGGTACACATACACACACACAGATATATATACACACATACATATATGTGTGTGTTCATAGTAACTAACAGTGAAAAACTAAGTTCTAAATTATCTTATTCACAAGTGCACATGTAATGGTTACTTGAAATTCAGTACTTTGTTAAAATCTACATATTCAAGCAAATTCTTATATTTTATGGACAAAACTCATTTTCCTTACAATTTCATCCACAGAGTCATTTCAATAACTTTTGTAAACATTGTAATTTGATATCAGATGTAAGAGTATGATAATAATTTGATACACTTAAAAAAAAACAAATCCTAAACAGTGATGATCATGTATCCAGTCATGATTCACTTGTATAGCCAATGAGCTCGTTTCCTTGGCCTAGATTCTATGAAGCATATAAACAGGGTCAAAGGAAGCTTAACAACTATGCTAAATAGAAAAGAAAGTATTCATTATCACTTACTGCAAAGAAACATATAGCACTGCATGTGCATCCAAACACAGTTACATGTATATACAAGCCCTTCATTTATACTTTAATATCTACGTGCCAGTTATAAACTTGTGTCTAAGAGTAAGTGTATTAAGCATAGTAGATGCCCACATATCCAGTACATGCACGTGTTACATGAACATGCAAGCTTTTAAAGCAATAATTTTCATTTATGTTGTTTGAAAACTCAAAATCAAAAACACTTTATACAATGTAGATTACAAATTAAATATTTCATTGACTTCTTTTTTTTAACTACAGACTGACTCAAAATTATAAATTACAATTAGACAATATTAAATACAATTTTATTTTATATGTAACTTACTCATTTTCAACACTTAATGTATTTGTCAGAATTTTATTTTAACCTTACATCTCTTCATTTTTAATGTCTTTTCTCAAAAACATTTTTGGTACATTTGGACCATGTTTGATGAATGGTCAAATGATGGCAAAGGAATCAACTATCTAGCTATTTATGTAAAGCAGAGTTGTTTGCCTGCCTGTCTGATGTCACAAGTTGTTGTGAGGAACTGGCTGAGCCATTTTAAATGAAAGTTGTTATAAGAACTCAGGTGGACCCTTAAATATCAAGTTAAAATGAATAAGCTAAGTGAGGAACAATTCAAGTCTGTCAGCCATTTTAATTTAATGTTGAAATGAGAGTTCAACTGAACAAGACTGGTAGCAAACTATACATGAAGCTGATGTCAAATGAAAGTGATGGTTAATGTAGAATGGATATGTTTGCAGTAGATGAATGGTTCACGTCCTATATCTTAATGTAATAAAAGTATAGCACTACTTTTTAAAACTGGAACTGCCAGGTACATTTGGTAGTGTTGTCATAAAAATAAACCAAAAGTTAATACATCAGAAACACCAACCTCTTTGTTACAACAATAATCACCAATCTTTTCAAAATGGTATTTTGAACTGTAAAAAGAGTTTACAAGATGTAAGAAAAATCTTTAATAAAGAATGTTGTATTTAACTGAAAGTGAACAGGCTAGGTCCATTAGATCAACCATGTATTGAAAAAGGAATACTGATTGTAATTCCAAATTTACTACATGTATTGACACAAAATGTAGCAAGCTTTTAGTAGAATGGACAAGTATGATGTATACAAAAATGAGATGATCATGTGTCCAGTCATGATTCACTTGTATAGCCAATTAGTTTGTTTCCTTGGCCTAGATTCTATAAAGCATATAAACAGGGACAAAGGAAACTTAATAACTTCACTACATAAAAAAGTGATAAGGTATTCCTTATCATTTACTGCAAGGAAACACATAGCACTGTGAATCTTTTCAGTATCCCTATATATTGTTCTTGGCATTCATTTTCTTCTACCATGAACTACTGCTAAATCAGTAATGTAGGGTACAATTTATAATATTATTCTGCTTGTTTGTATGTACGACCATTACGCTTTCTGACCGAGAACCTGCTGCATAAGCATGTGTAGTTAGAATGTTTCCCCAAGAAAAAACCATGCATGTGCATTATTCACTCGACGACAAACAATCTGCCTG